CACATGTTGAGTTATGAAATTTGAAAGCATACGACATTTGCAATGATGTGAACATAAATGGATAATAAAAGAAAACACAACTCCATATTATAGCGACTTCTAGTCTTATATCACAAGACCAGTGTACCGCATTATCTAACTATTTATAATCTCCAAACATTAAATAAATGATGTATGCATGCTATGATGCAACTCCATTGAGAGTTTCATGCTAGACGGTGCCAACCTCTCATGCAACTCCATGTACCGTACTAGTCACATCACGATGTCAATGACCGGCTTATTTCTCCATATGAAATGCAAAGAATGCATATGAAATGTTCATAAATGCAGAACTCCATATCGCACAAATAGTGCATCAATAAACAATCATCATCTCAAAGCAAAAAGAACATCGACTTTGATAAATAAAGGCATAAGCAAAGTATACTTAGGAAAGCACAACGACAATCTGTTTTATTGCTCTTGACATAGATTACTCTCTTTTAATCCAAAAAGAGATGCAAGATAGGAAATACAAGCATAGCATTGGCCACACGCCTACGTTAGTTACTTGCCTTTACTGAAGAAAACGGCCTCGACGAGCACGTCTCGACGAGCACGTCTAAGAACGGTTATGAGCCGCACTTGCTGGTAAAGATAAATATATCGAACTACTCAATTAAACCATGCATATCATATAAAGAATAAATACACGTTCCTAGTTTAGTCAATTATACTCCCCACATTTTTTAGTTGCAAATGAAACCCGTACAAATAAGTATACACATGTCAAGACAGCCACATGTCTATTTTAGAGCAGTCAAATTGTTATTTTCATAACTATTTTTCTACAACAGAAAATTGTATGATTGTGTGCAGTAAAAGTATCTATGTAAAATTTCCTACAACTTTGATATTCAACACAAAAACTAATTCGGCCTTCTACTATTTAATCATAGCCCCTTACTTAACTGGACCTAGTGTTTAGAACCCTGCATAAAGATAAAAAAAACGTACTAAGACTTCATGGTTCCTCATCTATGCGATACAGCCTAATTAAAAGACCTTTAAAAAGAAAACGATCTCTGCATTCTATAGCCTGATGGCTGCGGGTCTGATGGAATCTAACCCCCATGCTGCACGAGCCTGCGCTAGTCAGAGCTGAAAGCAGGATAAGCGAATTGTTTAATTACCTAATGGGAATCGCAAACCCCTCCCTTGCTTGCTGCCCAATCGGCCTGCGCCAGGCACCAAACCTTCTTGTGTTTTCTGAAAATCATACGGAGGTAGGTGGTCCAACCGGTCCGTTAACAGATATAGGAGTATCATTTGACAGACCACTTGCAAGTGGATCAGCGTAGGCATCCGGATCCGGCATGATTGTGAGGGCGGAGGAGGACGGATGCGGTTGCTGGGAGGAGAGGGGTGGCGCAAGGGAAATATATGGGACAGGAACAGTGGCGGATGCAGAACAGGATTGAAGGGAGGGCTTGTCTCTTCTTCTTCCTCTCTCTCCATTTTTCTTCTTTCCTCCACCTCTTCTTCTCCCCCACCCTCCCTATATTTTCATTGATGCACCAGCTGTAGGGGGGCTGGAGGCCCCCCAGCCCCCCTTTAGATCCGCCCCTGGACAGGAAGGAGATCGCCAAGGCGCCTGGATCCACGGACGTGATTGAAGGGAACAGATGGGCGTGGGGGAGGGTACATGGGCGGGTATGGGTGCAGCTCGGTTTTTAAAAAAATCCGGCTAGGAAGGCGTCGCCTGTCGAATAGGACAAGCAGGAACACGTGTTTCAGACCCAAGCTGCCAAGCGGTTGGGTCCATCCATTAGGTGGGATTTATTTGATGTGTTAGATGGATTTTTCATAATACATCCAAGAGAGGACATTAAAAGTCAGTAGAGAGCCTGAGGGTGGATTGTACTTTCCAATTTATTTGCTCTTTTATAGTATTATAAGTATTGTATTTATTTATGTGTGTGTCCACAACTGTTGCACAATCACAAATAAACCACGTACATAGCCATCATCATTATTTCACATTAAAATGTAAGACAGTAACAATAATAGTCTTATAAGACAGTAACAATAATAGTGGCAAATCCCCCCAACACGCTCACGGTGCAACTGGTCAGCACAACACGTCAAAGAAGCGGTTCGCTGAGCCAGCCCGGGTTCGAGTCACGGCACAATCTTCTTAAGACAAAAATCAGGGGACATCTCTCCACTGACCGAGTTTTTTTTAATAGTGGCAAATCCCCACACAGACAGAATAACAATAATCATTTAAGACGCACGCATGACAAATCACACACCATAGCACTGGTCGAGTTTTTTTTTAATAGTGGCAAATCCCCACACAGACAGAATAACAATAATCATTTAAGACGCACGCATGACAAATCACACACCATAGCACGCGCACACCATAGCACGCGAGGCAGACTAGAGCATACTAGCAATTAGCAGCAGCTAGCATGCATGAGGCTCATAATGTAGCCGCCGCTGCTGCTGCATAAGCTGAAGGAAATTCAACTGCTGAATGCTCACGCGTTTTTTATTACATTAAATTTCTCAACTGCTTGGCACGGCAGTATGTATATAATTGACTACCTCTGTATTTTGGACGGGCGAGTCGGCTCGTCCAAACCGAAGCAGCCGAGCAGGGCAAACCAAGATGAAACCGGTAGACGAAGAAGCAGAGGAAGGGCGCATGGGCCCCCGCGCGCGCGCACACAAAACATTCAAGCCGAAGCGAACGCAGGAGCAAACACATGTATGGTGAGAAGCAGAGACAGCAACATCAAGTGACGTAGCTACTGCACTCAAGGTAGAGCCACCTTACCTGCAGGAGACCGAAGGACATGAGAGGAGAAACGATTAATCAATCTTACTATTACTAATTAGAGGTACTAAAAAGTATCCACGTTAATTCTCAAAAGACAAGCTAGAAAAAAAAAGATAAATGCTAAAAAATTCTTACAATAATCAGAAACATCTGACATTTAGTTTAGTAGACTTTAATCACCACCTCTAATAATAGCTATTGGATCAATTCTACTTTCTAAAAAATTACCCACCTCTGCCATTTATGAAAAATACATTGCATCTAAATTACTCAGGTCTGCCACTATAAAATATAATTTAAATAACCCCTTAAAACTGCATATAAATTACTCACCTCTATCAATATAAAAGATAATTTAAAATCATCCCTTAAATTTATATCTAAATTACTCATATATGTCATTATGAATGATAATGCAAAGTAACACCTAAGTTTACATCTAAATTGTCCACATATGCCATTATAAAAGATAATATAAATAAACACCTTTAATTTGTATATAAATTATCCATCTCTACCGTTATTAAAAATAAACTAAAATACCCTCAAACTACATATAAATACTAATATAAGCTATTATGGAAAATAATTTAGCAACCATAAAGTATAAAGTACGCTATATATGTTTCTATATTACACACCACTGTTAAATTAAAAGTAAGCATAATGCTATATGCCACCCTGTACACCAAGTTAATATTTATTTTAATAGTTTATCAAGCATGGAAAAAATGCCCCTTACGAACTACGGACCAATAACACTGACATTTCATGTTAAATTATATTAATACTCCATGATAGTAAATTTTGTATGTTATCACTTTAAATAACTTTATACTGACTCAATACTAGTAATTTAATCTTAAGTGCTCTATGTTTTTATAAAAAAAAATACTACTACACATATAATTCTATGATATAGCAAATTCAACATCTTGAGTTCCGCAGTGTAGGCTGAAACGACCATTTTTTTGCCTTTGTAGTAACTAAGAGTGTAGTCTATAATCTAAAATCTTTTTTAACAAAATATAAAAGGAAAATTTTGAACAAAAACAATACAATAAGCTCTAGAGTTTCAACTTAACACATGGGCAAAAAATAGCAACAACAAGAAAGACCAAAAGTTAAAAGCCAAATATAGATTATTCATGATGTCACATAAACAGATGCAAGAAGAGCTTACATTACTTAATCTTAGGTTTCAACTAAACACGTATCGAAGACCAACAGTGGGGCAGTGCAAATGATAACAACATATATCTTAATATTACTAACTAGAGGTCCCCAACGGAGCCTCCACATTAATCCTCATGAGATGCACTAGAAAGAAAAAGATAAATTCTAACAAAAATTAGAATGATCTAGCCAATTCAATAGACTCTAATCACTATTGATAATAATAGCCATTAGATCTATTTTGTTTTCTAAAGAGTTACCATTATGAAAAACAACATAAGGTTACCCCTAAATCTATATCTAAAATATCCACCTATGCCACTGTGAAACATAATTTAAAGTAACATATATATTGCATCTCATTACTCACCTTCCATTATGATAGATAATCTGAGTATTCCCTTAATTTACATATGAATTACCTCTTCTGTCATTATTAAAAAAATAAAATATCCCCTCAAATCTACGTGTAATTAGTAATTACCAACATTTGTTATTATGAAAAAGTTTAAATAACCATAAATTACACACACGCATATATATATACAGGGAGTAGTTACTCCCATGTTTATATCTCTAGATTTAGGGCGTCTATAGCCCGACGAAGTGTACGTAGACGGAGTATATCATCATACTGAACCATCTAGGGTAGTATGTATGTCAAGTATGTAGATACACATATAGTATATGGTTATACTTTTTTTATATACTACTACAGTGGTATTTTAGTAATATATTAAAAAGTATGGGCTCTTTTGAACAACTACATAAAAGTGCATGTAAATATACTTCCTTAGATGTTGAAATACGTGTGCTGTGTACACCTTGTGTGTGTGTGTGAGTGTGTGTGTATAACATCGCATATATGAGAATGAAAGCAAAGTGAATGGATGGACAAACCAATGAAGGACGTCTGTAGTCGGCAGCTAACTAACTCCAACTGGATTGGATCACATCGCACATACAAAGGTAGCATGGTCGGCAGCAAGAGGGATCACCTGAGGACTGAGGTTCTGAGCATGGTCTTCTTGTAGTACCGCGAGTGGAGCGGCTTGTAGTGTTTGGGCTGCACAAAGGAGTCCCACTCCATCCTGTCCCACAGTTCCTTCTCGCAGTCGCACTCCACCACCTTGTTGTCGCCAATGATTGGCAGCCTCTTAAAGCTCCAGCAGCCCCTGATCTTGATGGTTTCGAGATTGGGTGCGTACATATTTGACCCAATACTACAGATGCGCTGCAGCTTGGGGAGCTCGTGCAAGTGGATACGCTTCAGTTTAGGGAAGTGCCATCGACCTCCATGTGACCAATAATCGCCGATCTCAGAGAAACCGAAGACCACACTGAGGTCACCACACCACATGATCTCGAGGGTCTCCAAACTTTCCAAGGCCCTCATGGCATCATGCAAGGATACAACATATGTCATCCTTGGGCAGTGGCTGAGGTGCAATAATGTCAGGTCCGTAAACGCTCTATCTTCGAATCCAAATACAGCACACCAGTTCCAGATGTAGCGTGCATTGAGGAGATGCGACGCCCAGAGTGTCCTCAGCTTCTTAAACACATCCACACCGATTTCACTACCTCCTCTAATTTTTTCAGAAGTGAAGACACACTTCAACTTGGGACACCGCTCGACTCTGCACCACTCCAACTGGTTCCATGTCGTTGCACCACTCGACTCTGCACCACTGGTGATGAACAAGCTATCGTGCACATGCAAGATCTTAGCACTCTCACATATAAATCCTGGTACTGTTATGCTTGCATTTTGTAATGTGGTCCCCATCTGGTCTTCTATGTGCACGTAGCAACCTTGGGATGGCACACATGGGGGAGGAGGACATGCACACATGGTCTCCTCCCAAACATCGTAGTCGCCTTCTTTATCCTGCTGCTGCATGCTGGTGTACTTAAGGGTGACGGCGACATATGGGTTTAGTGCATTATCTTTAAGCAGTTGCTGGTGCTGCAGGTTTACTTCCATTTGCTGCCTGCCGTTCTCAGTTCCACCTTTGTTGGTAGCAATTGCGGTAGCAGCAGGAACGCCAGGATGAGCAGGGGATGAAACTGTTGAAATCTCCACATGTGCACAATAGGAATCGAAATAATCTTTGATGGGCTCAAGCGAGCCAAGGAGCCTTGTATCCCTTACAGAAATATGCCAGTCAAATTCAGCAGGTGCTGATCTTCCACCTATAGTAGTGCCCACCTTTTGGGTGGTGTCGATGCGTAGATGAGCCATGTATCTTTCCCTCCTGGCTGCAGCAGCCGGTGGCCATAGGATTGCACAAAGCTTCCCACAGCCAATTAAAACCAGCCTACCAAACTGTGGGGCCGTAACTGCACTGAGATCAGTGTGTTTTCACTGCTGCGCCGGTGATATCAAGACTCCATAGGTCCGGGAAGGACCCACTCAAGAATAGATTCTTCAGTTTAGCACATCCCGTCAAGGAGATACCGTGTAAACCAAAGGATCCGTCAATAATGACAGTCTCAAGGCTGCTGCAGCTGCTTTCCACAGACAAACTATCCATCATGAATATGGCACGGTTTCTGGAGAACTCAAGAAGCTCCAACTTGTCCATACCCGAGAACAAGTCTGTCGGCCGGTCTATGCGGCATTGGATACCAGAATCTGTTACTCGGAGCTTCCGGATGTTGCGCAGTCGCCGCCCATCCAACAGACGATCCAATCCCAGATAGCTGTCTCCGACCACGTTCAGCTCCCTGAGTTGAGTCATGAAATCCATCATCCTTGCGGGCAAGAAGTCAGAAGTTGGTGGGTAGCGCACGTCCAGCACCCACATCCTTTGGAAGCAACGGCGGAGGTCCTCCTCGTCCGCTACTTCATCTGTGCTGCTGCTTCCCTGCTTGCAGTGGTCAAGCCACAGAAACCTAAGATTGTTGCAGTAGAGGAACGGTGGCGATGTGAAGCTGAACTCGCATGCTGATATCTTGAGGACATGAAGCTTGTCGAGTTGTTGGAACATGCCTTTAGGAATGCATCTATACTGGTGATGGTCCGGAATCAGGGTGAACCCGTAGATTGGCGAAGACCAGTATGATATGCGCTCCGGAAAATGCTTTACCACCGGAGATGGCACGTATGGATTTTGGTAGTCCGTATCTAGTCTCATCTCGCGCTGCAGAGCATCCGAAAATAGCCACAATGATTCATCACCATCAGTGCCAACATCTCCCTGCTGTAGCTGTATGATGCCATCACATGTCCAGTAGTTGCAGCCATGGTTCACCAAGTCATAGTCGCTCAAGCGACTACCGATGCCACAAAGGTTCATGGTGTACAAGAAGCAATTGGTGGCTGCCGCAGACCAGTCGATGCCACCAATATTGATCTGCGATGCAACTTCTGCAGCCTCATGGTTCAAGATGTCAGACAAGTCACCTTTGGAGGCGGTTGCTGCTGCTGAGGCTGAGAGAACAACATCTGTCCTCGTGCTAGTGCCCTTGAGGGCCATATCGACCTTCATCCTTGGGTAGAGCCGGAACCTCCCTTGGAATGACCACAATACCTTGTTCCTCGAGTATCGGGCGGATACAGGAATGCCGAAGCTGTCAAGATCTATCTCCTCGTTGCTCCCGTTGTGAAAAATCACCACGAACCTGCGGTTCAGCTTCCGTATGTGTTCAGATATCGCCTCAGACACCCCCTGTATCTCGGCGCGGGAGCCATTGGCCAAGCCTTGGAAATCGTCTGCCTCATCTTCAGCATCGAGCTTGTCCATCACCGGAGCGGGAAGCTCAACCTGCTCTGCGATTATCCTCTGCATCGCTCTCCTGCTCTCCCATTTGGAGCAGTCGATGTGGAAGATATGCGCGAACTCCAGAACGGCGGCAGCAGGGACTCTCCTTCCAGCCGGTGCCGGTTCCGGTTCCTCTTCTGAAGCAGCTGCGGTGAGGCGTCGGCCTACTTCTCGGAGGACGGCGGATGCCCCCAGCCCATCCCAGCCGTCAAAGTAGATGACATTGCGCCTGCTGCTGCTGCTGCTAGCAGTACCAGCAGCGTCCTCCTTCAATTCTTTGAGAATTCGTTTGGTAGCTTCATCGATGGTGTCCGCCTCAATAAGCTGCATGTGCATATATAATCATCAGTTGTTTTATAAAGAGAGTTATACAGTTGCAAAACATACAGTGATATCACTAGTGCAACTAACAAAAACAGAGCATGACGCATTAGTTGATGCTGGCTGATTATACCTCAGTACGCATGATGGATTGGATTGGATTGGATCAACCGGCCGGCTCGAAGCTACTGGATCAGTGGATCTTCAGAAATAATGCTGCTGCTTATATCCATTATTTCAACTGGAACAATGTCCATTTGATCTAACCCATCGCTTGGCCTCTCGGCTGGTCTGGCCAACACACAGGCATCCATGAAGGAACAATTAACATATATATTATCCAGAGTTGCGTGAACTATATATAGTTTTTTTGTGCATGAAAGCTACATATATATACATTGAAAATGGACTTATATGCTATATCTACAATAATGGAAAGGAGCAGTTAAGTTGCATACCTCAGTTAAGTTCAATTGGCACTAGCAGGATATGACAATAGACAAATGTAGATCGAATCAATAACGATTGATGAACAGGAGAGAGAGACACTGAGATGTCTAAGAGAGAATGTAGCTAGATCGAAGCAAAGCGGCCGGTGCCACAGAGAGACTTTGGTTTTCTGGCAAATGTGGCAACCAGTACTAGTATGTCTCTTTGTGTCTGTGGTCGTCAGAATGGTTCTTTGCTTGCAGCTAGTTAGTCACTGCATACTTTTGTAAAGGTAATTAAAGATTAAAGATTTAAGTAGTGGAGCACAAGGCTGTCGTGTCTTTATCGTCCACACAATTCGATTCTCCTGCAATGGCTAACTGAGCAACTTTTATGCCTTGTGACTCCGAGAAATCTAGGAGGATCCAAGGTTCAGTTCAATCATGCATTGAAATCCTCTAAACTCTTCACTTTCTCGTTTTCATCGTGACTTCTACACCCTTTATTTACTTATAAAAGCCCCCTCTCAACTATCAAAACCAGAGCAGCCCCCTCTCAACTATCAAAACCAGAGCAAGTCACAATACTTTTTAGTTATTTTGGTTAAGTATCTACGATAAATATGGTAAATATAGCCCTTTTACACACCGTTTAAACGCTACACAGTGATACACTGTTTCCGTTTAATCGGCCGTTTTGCCCGTTTAAGTGGCCGATTAGGCCGAATAATGGCTAAAGGATAGGTGACCGACTGTTTACCATTTAACTTTTAGGATAACACTGGGCAACAGTGTTCTTATCCCTCCTCTAGACCTCAGTTGTGATTTTGCGCTCCTTTTTCCAAGTATATGAAGAACGATGTCTTATATGTAGCTCTATGTGATTGCTGCCATACATGATTTCTGCTTGAATATATATGCAAGTTGTGTGAAAATGCTATCAAAATTTGTCAAAGTTCAGTCATATTTGTAATATACGCAAATTCTGTCAAAGTTTTTTTGTCAAAATACTTTTGAAATATGTCAAAACGGTTGATGTCAAAACAGAAGTAAAATAAAAAAGTTCTCATAAAAGCAAATCTGCAAGGGCATACATATCTTCTTACAACTAAAGTGACACAATTAAGTGCTCATTACAGAATAGGCTAAACTCAACCTTCGATTTCGAAAAGCGGGGCAAAATCACAAAAGTTGAAATGTAAGGGAAAAATCACAGTTGACCTCCAAAGTAGGGGTAAGAGCACCATTGCAAATAAAAAAACAACGGAAATGATACAAATTATAGTAGAAAAATTGCCTAGCACTGACAAAACCATAAAAAACATTGTGCAAACTCAAGGACCCTAGCTTAGGGCACATATGCTTTTGGTGTTTAATGTCAATATAATCAACGGGACTAATAACGTTTCCTAGTATGTAAGGTCTTAGTCTCATAGAAGCCAATGAAATTGTGGAACTGGACTTGAGATGGAATGAATTGGATAGGTTTCCCTAGAATACACAATCTTTGAGCAGCTAGCAATGGACCATGTTGCTAATTTGGCTTGACAATTAAGCCGAACCGTCTGTTTTCTATTTTTGGATGAGTTGTGCCTACAGGTACCCAATGGATTATACTCCCGCCATTTTAAATTTCATGTCGCAATAGCTTTGTCCTAAGTCAAACATCTCTATCTTTAACCATCAAATATAAAAAGTTTGTATAGGTTAATAACCTAAGATTTATGTTATTAATACGAACCCAAAAGCTCGCCCCCACGTTGTTTGAGACGGGTGGCTCCCTGCCCCTCGCCTCAACGTCCCCACAAGGAGTGCCTGCGGCCTCCGCTGCCGCCGGAGCTGGTTGCCGGATCTCCGGCGAGCAGCGAGGAGGGCGGCGACAAGGCCATCCCTCACTTCCTCCCTCTCATCTCTCGTGATCTAGTGGTCCGGCTCTCGGGGCGCCGGTTCTGCTTGGCTGGCGGCCGTTCCGTGCGCGATGGGCTGGATCTACATGTGGACGGCCAGTTCTGCGTGGGGGAGGCCGGATCCACTGGGCCAGCGGTCAGATCTGCTGGGCTGCTCGCCTTTCGGGTGAGCGGACTGGCGGCGACGCTGGTTGAAGGCGCGACGCGGGGTTGGCCGAATCTGCTCGCTATTGGCCAGTCCTCGCCAGATCCGGTGGTGGGAGGTCTTCTCCGGCGGGCTTCCTCAGGTGGCTGTCCTCCTTGGCGGCGGTGCTGCTCGTCGGTTTCCGTCGGTGGTCGAGGGCTGCCTGGGCTCTCTCTTGCTGTCCCCTCCCTTGCTCTAGCCGGCCTTGGTTGGCGGGGCTCGCTACTTGAGAGATGTTGTAGTTTAATTTTTATAACAGCAAAGGTGGGTAATTTAGATATAATTAAAGGTATTACTTCATATTATCTTTCTTAATGACACATATGGATAAAATAAAAGTAAATTTAGTATTAGTTTGCATTATCTTTCGTAATGGTAAAGGTGGATAGTTTAAATGCTAATTTATGGGGTTATTTTAAATAATCTTTTATAATGCACAGGTCGGTAATTTAGACGTAAATTTATGGGGTTATTTTAAACTATTTTTCACAATGGTAGAGGTGGGTAATTTAGTTGTAAATTTTGGGGTTACTTATATGTATTTTTCATAATGGCATATGTGGGTATTTTTAGCCCCGTTTGGCACAGCTTCGTCTCCACTGGTTTCAGGAGCCATTTGGAGCCATTTTGTGCCAAACATGGTATAACAAAACGGCTTCACCGAGGAAGCCCCTTAAATCGTGCTCTCATAGAGGTTTGAAGCGGGATGGAGGCAAAAATAGTGACTTCACCCGGCTTCACCTCGTCCTAGTGGATCCTGTATGGGGTTATGTGAGAGCATGTTTTAACATGTGGAGCTATTTTGCCAAATGGTTTACCAAAACGGCTCCAGCTCCACCAATGGAGCTTTTTATGGAGCTGAAGCAAAAAAAAAAAACCCGGCTTCACTAGCGAAGTGGAGCTGTGCCAAACAGGACCTTATAAAATAAAATAGATTCAATGACTATTATTGACAATGATGATTATAGTGTACCGATTTAAATGCTAGATATTTCTGATTATTTTGAGAACTTTTAAGATTTATCTTTTTTCTAGCGTGTCTTATTAGAATTAACGTGAAGGCTCGTTTGGAGCCTCCAATTAGTAATAGCAAGATAATTAGCATTTGCAATTAGCATCAACGTACCATTAAGGCAGTGCCAGCGATCCACGGCTCAACGTGTTCCCATGTTTCTTTCACATGAAGCCAAGAACTTCCCCCATCCCTTCCTCACACCCCTCTCCTAGATTTCAAGATCCGACTCCTCAATCAACGAAAGCAAAAATCAATTCCTCGGCTCTCAATATTATTCCTCCTCCCAATGAAAGCAAATTTCCCCATAGATCGATCCATCCCCTCCCCTCTCATCTGCTTATTCCTTACGGTAATGCTTGGGCTCGAACGTCCCGAGTCCGGATGCCGCTCCCTCCGCGCCGTACTCCCTTGCTCCCTCCCTCCCTCCCTCGCTCCCTCCCTCCGCTAGCTCCATGGCGACCCCGCACTCCCCGGCAACCCTGCTCCTGCTCCTGAAGACAAGGACGACGGCGGAGACAAAGACGACGGCAGCGGTGGCGGCGGCTCCGACGAGGTAGGCCGGTTCCTCCTCCTCCTCCTCCTCCTCCTAGATCTCAGCCCACCAGAGACGAAGACGACGGCGGCGGTGGATAGGGTTCTAGCGAGCCTCTTCCCCTCTTTCTTCTCCAACTCCGGCGGGTATAGAAGGGGCCGACCGAGCGGAGGCAGGCAGTCCAGGGCATGGGGATGGTGGCTGAACGGTTTAGGGGCCCTGGTGACGGTAGCGGTGGCTGGGCTAGGTCGGGGCGGGGGAGTTTCGCCGGAGTTGGAGATGGCGGTGGCCGAGCTCGCCAGAGTTGGAGGAGATGGTGGCGGTAGGGTCTTGCCGGAGCTCCGCGGCCGCCGCCGCGGCGGAGCTCTGGTGAAACCCTACCGCGCCGCGGCGGTGGGCGGCGGGGCGGTGGCCGGCGATGGAGGGCGGGGGAGGGGGACACTGGGCGCGGAGAAGAAGCCGCGGGAGGTGGACTCCAGGTGCGGGGAGCCTGCGTCCGGACGTCCGAGCGCTAGCAGCGCCGTATTCTTTAGAGCAAGTACAGTAAGGCTTAGCCAGCAGGCAAAATTGTTGTCCACGTCAAAAACTCGTACTTGGCTGCGAGAGCTAAGGAGAGAGAATCGGGCAGGCGTTTGATTCTTCGCGGGGCTGAAAAGTAGTGCTCGAGGAAACATAGCTCACTTCCAGTCCGTCGCAGGCGATTGACTCGGTGCTTCGCTCCCCTGGCCTCCTCCCTCCAGATCCCGTGCGTCGGCCGCGCCGCGCGGCCCGCGCCGCCCCGCGCAACCGAGCACCAAATCATCCAAGAGCGGCGCGCCATCGCGGGCCAGGTACCGCTTCATTCGTCGGCCTCCGCGCCGACCCCACGCCGAGGAAGCAACGAACTCATGCGCAGACAAAGGCGGCATGTGCGGAGGTGCCGGCTGGCGGAGGTGCTCACGGACAGCACCTCGTACTGCATCTCTCTTCACCTCTACCGTTTCTTCTCTGAGATGCAGAACTACAGCACTCCATGCAATTTGAGTCCTCCTTTCCATCTATCTTCGTCCACCAAATCCTAAAGCACTGGCACGACCAGC